CCACAGTACACTGACATGCAACCATGCTGACAATGAGGGAGAGACGGGGTCACATTTGTACAGACAGATGAGACCCTCAAAGGGCTAAGAACTCTCCAGGGTGAGTACTAAGCCAGACACTGCCCTGCACATGGCATGGGTGGACCTGAAATCTCCATGAAGCAAGGCCAGGTTGTTTACTCAGCAGCCCCACTGCTTTCCTGAACTGTTGCTGCCAGCACAAATGATATCAATATTCATTAATTTATTTTCTTAAAAAAAAAACTCAAGTTTCTAGCAACTTGACAAGTAATGGAAAATATGAAAAATAAAACAATTATGCAGCCAAGAATGAGCTGATACAAAAGTCTACATTTTACGCACAAATTCCTTCTCAATTCTCATGTTATTTTCCCAGGCACTAAAACTTGGAAATCGGTCTTATTTTAGCCTCAACTGCTTTGTCTCATATCCAAGGACTCTACATATGGTGCCCCTCTCCATCAATGTGGTACATTCCTGATTCTCACACTAGTACCCCAGTGCAAGAATCCAAGTCTGAATGCTTGCATTTTCTGACAAGCTCCTAACCAGGTCTCCAACAATGCCCTCCTTCCCAATTAACTGCTGCTAACCTCATGTTTCCACATGCCAGTTCCTTTACCAGCCTGAGAATCTTCTTTAACCCCCTCCTGCCCGGTGGCCTTACCTATTTGTGGACACTGTAAACAGTCTGAGTTCCATATTTACTAGGCCCAGGTCATCTGTCTGTCACACAGTCTACAGAATAGAGCCCAGCTCTGGCGTTGGAATATCTCAGTGTTAAACCCAGCTCTGCCAGTTACTTCCTAGGAAGCTTTGAGCCAGTTCCTTCAGCTCTTGGCAGTCAGTAAATTCACTTAGGAGTAAAAAAATTGATGACAAGTGGTTACTATGGAAATTAGACATAATGCCTACAGTACTAGCTTGGCGAAGCTCATATATACTATCCCACCTTTGTTTACATTAGACCTCAGACTCAGATGCTCACCCTACCCTCATCCTCTATTCCTGAAAGCTCCAAAGAGGGTGTCAATCAAGGATGGGAACAGACCTGTGGCACCCATTGCTCCACTGAGGTCCTTTCTCGCAAGTCCCCAATTGAATCATATGTTTTTAAGAGTAGAAAATGGAATTCCTGGAAAATTATTTCCTGTCAAGAAAAATACTTGAACAAGATCTCATCTCCCAGAATCCTTTAGGCAAAGTAAGTGTCAGCAACTCCTCGTTCCTGTTTACCTGAGAAATCTCAGGCAAATCTCAATCAAGAACTTATTCAACGCCAGACACTAAAGTACTAAAGATAAAAATCCATGATCTTGCCATGGTGATATGATGATCAATTATGAAAGACAGGAATCTGACACACATTCAGAAAGAAGGATCTGTGTGATAGTCAAAATATTATAAAATAATATAAATGGAACAAGACAGAGTAGCTAAGTTTAGGTCTGTGGTAAGTCTACATAGAAGATGTGCAATCAAATTAAGATTTGGCTCTTATGAAGAGGGAAGGTTTGCTGAAACCGGGCAGGAGGAAAGGCTTCCAGAGCCTTTTCTGAGCAGGGAATCTATATAGACAAAGGTGTACACAGACTCAGAACACATCAATAGAAATCAAAACTTCCAGAGGTAAGGCTTGGGGTAAGATGTGGAATACGGAGAAGGAAGAAAAAGATACTTATTAAGATGAAACCCAAAAGTGGGTTTGAACTTTATCCTAAGGGCATGGGAAAGTGAGAGTACAGAGTTTAATTCCAGGTTTTTCACTAACTGAGATTCTTGTGGCTATTGAATTTATACACGCACGGTGCTGAAAGAAATGGTGTGTGGTTACATGTGCTCTGACACATTCCAGGCCAACAAAATGCTGTGTGAAAAATGATTAACGACCTTTCCTAAGGAAGTCTGGGTAGCGGTGCTGGGAGAAGCAATGCAAGCTGAAGAAGGTGGACCCCACACACACATACACTGATTGCTGGGTACCAACAACAGAAAGGGGAGGCGGGGAAGGTGGCAAAGTCCCTGGGCAATAATGACAGCAACAGGAATGAGCAAAGGGATCTAATAGGGTAGCTTGTACATTCAAAACAGAATTGCCACTTGTACAGATAATCTCTCAGTTCCCCTTTGGAAATGGGGTAATATGATATCACTTATCCTGGTCCCAGGAAAATTTAGTGTGGCATATCATAATCAGGAATCAAAGGGGCCTGGAGAGGAAGCAACTTTTATTCATTTCCTTCATATATGACTCAGGCAGTTTACACCAAGTCTCAATCTTACCACCTTTTAAAGTATGCCTCTGAGGTATGAGGCTCTTTCTGTCTCTACCTCCCTCTGTATCTCTGTCTCTCTGCCTATGGCTCTGACTGTCTATTTCTGTCTATCTCTAAATCATCTCTATCTCTCTGTCTCTGTCTGTATCTATCTCTGTCTATGTCTCTGTCTCTGCCTATCTCAATCTACCTCTGTATCTGTCTCTGTCTATCTCTGTCTCTGTCTCCCTCCAGAGATTGTGCCCTAGACCTCATGAATGCTAGGCAAGCACTCTACCATCAAAGTATATCCTCAGACATTTTATATTTCTTTTTTATTTTGAGACAGTAATTCACTAAATTGACAAAACAAACTATTTTTGAACTCACTCTGTAGACAAGGCAGCCTTCGTACTTGCAATCCTCCTGCCTCAGCCTCTTCAGTAGCAAACACTATAATCCTGTGCCAACGTACCCAGCTAAAGATTGTTTTGAAGAGCCTGCATGCAAAATACCTAGAACATCCTTTGGCATATGGTAGATATCCCATGAGATAGACCATCATAGTATATACAAAGTCACAAAGAACAGGGGTGGCCCTCTAAGAAGAATAAGGAGCAGATAAGGAAGATGATATCAGTCAACCCTTGGGTGCCTTAGCTATTGAATCTAAATTCTTAAAGTAGAAGACAGAAACTTCGTGTTTTTCTGTGAGGGCGTGTTTGACTGTTACTTTCCAGTTGATATTCACACAAATAGTAGGAATATGACTGCTAATTAAATCTTCATTGAGGGCTACCCACAACAAACATACAATTACGATGTCAGGAATGACTGTGGCAAAGAGAGAAAGCAAAAGAACATGGGAAGTCTTCCATGGAAGACTCTTTCTTCTGTACACCATTATAAACCTCTATCTCCCTGGCCAACCAACAGCAATCTGATTCTCAAGCTAACGCTACTAATTTAATAGTATTGAAGTAAATGACCAGCATCCCAAAGCTTACTTTCTGCATCTAATGAACGCACACAGGGATGAGGAGCCCACAGGCATCCAAGACTTGTCCTCTCCCATCCCTAGTCTAAACCAACATGGCTGCTCCATGCAGAAGCATGAGATTCCTGATGCCTAAGATTAGGAAGGTCTGAAATCTGAAAGTAACCCACTCTATTCTCCTAAGAGAAACAGAAGCTGAAGAAGTCAAATGAGCCAAGTGGTAATATTGTGGGCCCAGAGAGGAGGACTTCTTCACATTCTGCTAAGACAGGGACAGCGCCATCTGGCCAAGTGACGGGAAAGATAAGCTAAATGGCCTGCTGAATTCTGAACCCTGCTACATCCCATAGAGACATCATGTTCCAACACCCAATCTATCCCACAGGCTCAAGAAATCCTCAGGGCTATTTATAGGCAACTCAGATCAGCTTGTCTTAAGGAGGATACAGGTGACAATCACTTTGTGATAACTACCCAAACGCCATAGCCTAGAATAATAGGAAATAGAGGCTGGAGAGATGGCTTAGCAGGTGAAGGTGCTTGTTGCCAAGGCTGACCACTTGAGTTAGATCCCAGGGACCTACACGATATAACTCAATTCTTTATTGTAAGTTGTCCTGTGACTTCAACACATGAATGGTGACATACATATACCCAAATACACACACACACACACACACGCACACGCACACGCACATGCACAGGCATACATACACACGAAATAAATAAATAAATAAATGTAATTAAAAAATTAAAAATAAAGTAACAGGAAACACAAAATACTTATATCAACCTTAATTTTCCTTAAGAAGGAAGTTGTATTTCTTTGGAAATCTACCCAACAAGCCTGGGTTGGCTTCATTTAGCACTGGTCCCTTAAATGATTTAATAGAGTGTCTCCATTGGTCTTTCTTCTACAACAAAGGGACCCCAGTTCTCCCAAGATCTGCAGTGGATTCCCAATCCCCAGGGTCAGTGTCAGATGTACCTGCAAAGCTCTACAGAGTATTCAACACTAACATCCCTCTCAGAATGTCTCCAGCCACAAAAGACAATACAATAACTTCATTTCTAGCTCTTTTTCTGCAGCCAAACCATAAAGCTCACCCTAGTAGTGTGTGGCCATCAAAGGATAAATTCAGCAACTATCTCAGTGAGTGTGGCCCTCATAATGGCTGGTCACCAATGTCACCATGGAACAACGTCACCAGTCCCTACCCAAGGCTGGCATACAGATTAGCCACCCCAAACCAACCCATCTCACAAAGGTCAGGAGAAGAGAAGGTAGTGGGAGAAGGAATGGAGGTCACTTCCCCGAACTGATGGATTTATATCCTCAGTAGAGGGCAAAGCTGAGTCCCTTTTTAATAGACCTTAGCACTGCAAACTTTCCTACAGCAAATGACATCCAGACAGATCCTGGAACTATTAGGATCTCACAGAATAATAAAATCAGGGGAACCCGAGGGCTCTTTCCTTAAGCAAGGATATATTTAGGGCCCTTTCTCTTCCTCTCCAATCAGAATAATGAAGCCAGATGGCTTCTCCCGTACAGCACAGCTCACTAACCTACATGGTTCCTGGGGCAGAAATGAGTCCTCTAACAAATCCACTGGTTTGCACTGCTCTAACTCACAGATTTCCTTCCCCATGGGGATCGCCTGGCCAGGGCTCTGTAAGCCCCTTTGGTAACAGGGCTTAGGGCAGGAGGAGGAGGGGTCACTTACCATTTGATTGCTATACCAGTACAGCGACGACCCCTTCAGCACCACCCAGAACTTTTTCCATTTGTTGCTTAGGAAAGTTCCCTTTTCCTTCTTCTTGTACAGCCAACCCTGGCAGTCAGCGTGGCCCAGATCTTTACAGGATATCCTTCTCCGACTCATGGTGAAAAACCCTGCAAGAGTTACATGGACAGGTGAGTGGGACCCATATTCAGGTAACAAAATAAAAGGCAAGTTTTAGTTGTTTGCACAGCAAGGATTGGACGTTTTCATTCATGCAAAGTGAATATTAAAAAAAAATCATGTATCTGTTCTATTTTTAAATCTCCATTCGGTGCCTAGAAAACCCAGGCAAAGAGACTTATTTGCAAGTATGGGTCCGAAAACCTCAGTCAAAAAGAGTAAGTCGAAAACGTTAGACTCTTGGGCTGGAAGCCACATTGTAGTAGACACACGGGTCCTTCCCACAATAAGAGAGACAGTTATGCAATAGACATGGAAGGGTTAAAGCCCACCTAGGAACACGGTGACTTCCCGGACTCAGTGCCAGCTTCTCTAAGCTCCGTGGCCAGAGCACGAGGAACTGATCCAAAGGAACAGCATGCCATTCTTTCTTAAAAATCAATCCAAAAGCAATCCCCCGAAATTAATCCGGCCCCCATCTCCTGATATTAAGATTCAGACAGTCAAGAATCTGATTCCCCCACCCCAACCCAAGAAGGCATCCAGGAGAAAGAAAGAAAGAAAAAAAAATCACACTACCACAGACAAGGAAGGGATAAAGGAACAAAAGGAATCGAATTACCTTGAGTTCTCTTCCTGGGCTTCTGACGCAAGGGAACCTGCTGGAAATGCAGGAAGGAAAGAAAAGAGGAAATTTCTGATTGTGTTGTAACATTTGTAAAGAGAGAAGGAGGGAGGGGGTGGCAGTGTTTATGAGCGGGGTGGATTCTAAAAAAAAAAAAAAAATTCTCCAAGCAGAGCTCAAGGGGAGCTACCAGCTGAGGCACAAAATGTGCTAACTAGAATCGATATACATTGAGCTGAACCTGGAGAAAAGAGTAACAGGCATTTATCTGTAACGCTTCCTGTTTCCTCCCACGAGCCGCTCTTGCTACTACTTAGGTTAAGATGGCACAGGGGTTTGTTGAAGTTTTAAAACATCATGAAATACATCACAAGAAACAATATCTTTTCTTTCTCCTCTTAATTTCTAGATCATATCGAGTAATTAAGTAAAGCTGGAGAATAATTATTTCCATCTCAAACTATTAACTTTGTGGTCTTGCTAACATGCAGGAGTCTACCTAAACCACAGGAATTAAATAACCCTGGGAAAGAAATTCCTTGTCTCTTCTTGTGTGACCTCAGGGACTCTAAAGCCTCCTGATCGAGAATTTCTTATTTGCAGCCTAATATACATATCTCATTCTATCTTTATCTTTGAATATTTCTCACATGTCTTATAGAAGATAAATATTCAAATATTCAAATCAGACATGATGATTTATACAAAACACACACATTTATCATAGCACATTTTCATCAAGTCATGTGAAATCAGATTCTAAAAATCTGGGAATCCCAAAGAAAAAAATATGCTTGCAAATGCCTCTCCTGCTCTGTATGGGTCTGTGTGTGTTTGTGTGTGTGTGTGTGTGTGTGTGTCTGTGTCTGTGTCTGTGTCTGTGTCTGTGTCTGTGTCTGTGTCTGTGTCTGTGTCTGTGTCTGTGTGTGTCTGTCTATGTATACAAATATCAGACAGAATTTTAGCTTGAAAAAGCTTCATTTTTCTTCTACAGCATCTAAGCTGAAATTCTTCAGGTTTAAGTAAATTCCATTTGTGTTAAAAAGCAGAGACTTTTTAAATGTTTAACTATGCAATTAAAAGGTTGTTCTAAAAGTTGATAGGTAATCTCATGAATTTTGTGGTATTCTGGATACATCTGGCTAGTAGTCCACATATCTAACTACTGATGAATGGTATCTGTGGCTCGGCTATATGTTTGACAAGTGAATATGATCTACTGTGGAAAAAGAATAGAATTTTTAAAGCCACAGGTCAAGATTTAACAAGGAAAAGTCACTCTAAACCCATAAATATGTACGTGTGCATGATTTCTAATATAAGTCTCAAGCAGATCTGCCAAGATTTATTTGTGAAAATATTCTGATAACTAAAAATCCTGTTTCTATAAATAGCCACACATCACTGCATCATGGAGTGTGTTACCTGTTGTAGTAAGGGGTACAGGGTCTCTCTTATACCGCCTAGGCTTAAGACCCAATTCATTTTCAAGGCTATCAGAGTGTACAAAGATAAGCAAACACCCAATAAACAAAACCCATCATTTCAGAGTAAGGATGACTTGGATTTCCCTCAGCAGGGAGGATGGAGTTAAGGTTAAATTGTGCTTCTCCATGGATACCAGACCAGAGCAACCCTGAGTTGGCTTTTTCTTTTATGAACATCCTTTATTCCCTTGGATCACTGACTGATCTCTTTGAGGATAATTTTTAAAGAAATTCAACATGTGTCAATCATGGCATGCTAATCATGTCTAAACACACTATCACATTAAGGATCTCCATCTACTCTTCCTTTCCCAGATATTTCCCACACTACCAACTTCTTGGTCTAAGATTTCCTACTCTTCCTTAGTCTCTGGGCTTATTTTTTTATTTTTTATTTTTGTTTTTATACTGCTATCCTGAGATCAGGAAACCCAGTTAGTACCTACTGGTTATTCAATATTGTCCAAACTGAGAGCTGGGGCTGAAGACAAAAAGAATAAATGAACTTCATCATCAGTAAGGCTTGGGGAATCTGGGATCCCAGGGAGCACACAAAGTAACTGAGAACCAGCGCAGTGGGAGAAAGCAGAGATGTCCATGCTGATTCCTAGAAGGCTGGAAGCCTAGGTAAACAAGCTGAGACTACATTGCTTCCAACAGCAACACCAGCATTTAAAAAGAACCAGCAAGGAGGGCACAATGCCTAGAGATAGCTATCACCTCTGGAAGGGAAGCACAGAAGTGGGTTTACATTCCTTGGCTCCTGACCCATGGAACAGGGAGCTGAGTCTCCAGTCATTGTGCAATGGCTTCCAGTGACACTGCTGGCTCTTCAGCTCCACCATCAAGCCTAAGATGGTTTCCAGAGACATCCAAGTCAAAACTGTGTCTTCATGTCTCCTAAAATCAGCCCTAGGTCTACAGCTGGATTCTCAAACTGAGACTGGGTTGAGAGTTGAACATCCATATCAGGTCAACACAGTTCCCTGAGCAAAGTGCTCCATCACTCCCAGCAAGCTCCTTGGATCCAACCCTGCCCTGACAATCCTCCCTCAAGGCAAAGTGGCTAACTGTTCAGTGTTTTCCCCTGGCCAGAAACAAGCTGCACCTTAGAGAAATAACAAACTAGTGGGAGTTCCAGTTTCACTTGATAGATGTGAATATGAAACCCCCAACTGCTCTGCAAGAAGGAATGAAAACAACCTTTGAGAGCTTTACTGAGTCTAAGACATATTTCCTCCCCACAACAGGAAGTGGAACCCATGAACTAGTCAGTTTCAAGGCCTTCGTGTGGCTTTCTCACTGAGTAGGTTGAAAACACTGACAGGTGTTTGAGCGATTTGTGAGACCATTTCGAGCTTCACAGACGTTTAAAAGTTTGATAAGCTATTTCTCCCAACTTATTTTCTTCCTGTTTGTATGACACAGAGAAAACTGACAACTTATTCTAATAAATAAATAAATCTTCTCTAAAATGGATCTAGAAATTGGAGACAATTCCCAAGGAAGTATATATACATAGTTTTTATTGAAGGAAAGTAGACTTTTCATTTAACCTTGGAAAGATGGCCATTTAAGGACTAAGGAGATGGCTCAGTCAGTAAAGTGCTTGCGGCACCTGCATGAGGATCTCAGTTAGATGCCTAGAAACCATGTTTGAAATCCAGATGTGATGATCTGATTGTAATGCCAGCATTAAAGAGGCAGAAACAGGCAGATCCCTGGCAGTTGCTAGCCAGCCAGACTAGTCTACTTAGTGAGCTTCAGGACAATGAGAGACTCAAATAGCAAAATATGTGGTTCCTGAGAGGACTGCCTGAGGCGGACCTTTGATTCCCACCCCCACACAGACACACATGCATACACACATGCATATACACATGCATACACACATGCATACACACATGCATGTTTAGTAATCCTAGTCTTTAGCAAAAATCACATGGTTTTGTGTTGATATTCTAGTTTCATTTCTGTAAAACACCATGGCAAAAAGCCACTTAGGAGAGAAGGTTTTATTTTAACTTGTAATTCCAGCTTTAAGCGATTACTGTTGAGGAAGTCACAGTTGTGGAAACTTGGAGCAACTGGTCACATCACATCCACCGACAAGAGTAGGAAGAAATAAATGCATATATGCCCACTTGTGTCCTTGTGCTCAGCTTACTCTTACATAGTCCAGGACTCCCTGCCTAGGGAATTATGCTGCCCACGGTTGGCTGGGTCTTTTCTCATCAATTAACTTAAGGCAATTCCTTACATACATGCCCCAGGACAGCCCAAAGTAGAGAATCCCTGACTGAGATTCTCCTCCCAGATGATTCTCGATTATACTAAGTTGACAATTAAAGCTAACAGCTAAAGTGGACAAACCGTTCTTCATTCACAGGAACACTGGCTTGTATCATCTGTTATTATCTGTGGTACCAGTTCCTCACAGGCCTGGCAGTAAAAACTACCATTCCTTACTTACCAACTAAATGACAACATCTCTGAGTTTGGGGTTCTCCACAAATACTTGACATTTCCACAAGCATATTTCTGTATTGTTGGAAAGCTAAACCCTGCTTTCTAAAGGGAATTGTAAGGTGTTTTATTCGTAAAAATCTACCTGTGATCATGCACTTAAAACCTTGCTTAAATTTGTCGGAAGGCTAACCACTTAAACACTATGTAACACCAGCCAAACTATGGAATGAAAATCTCTGGTAGTGAGTAATGAAGACAGGTAGTGGGAGTCTGAGCGTGCGTGTGGTCACCTGGGAAAGCTGTATACAGTGGCAAAGGCTGGGGATAAGAATCCGGGGAAAGACCAATACATAAACAGGAAAGGAGAAAAAAAAAGCCTCTGAGAAAACCTGAACAGGTATACTCCAAGTCAAACTCAGGAGAAGAATGTCATGGGAACGAGGGAGAGACTCTAGAGAGACCCAGAGAAAGGTGGGTCCAAGCCACCAAATTATGTTGTTTGAAAGGAAAAGGTTCATTAGAATTTTTCTGTGTTATTTTTCTCATCACTGTGAAAAACTACCTGATAAGAGCAACTAAGTGGGGAGGGGCCTATTTGGGCTCACAGTTTCGGGTAATACGCCATCACAGAGAAGGTGCAGCAGCTAGGTCTGGGGCAGCGGATACTCGGAACTGACACATTAGGCCAGAAAACAAAGATCAGAACAGGAAGCAAGGTATTGCCCTCAAGACTCCCCCTAGTGGCCTTTCTCGTGAAGCATAGGCCTTCTGTCTTGTCTCAAGGGGTCTAAAGCTTCACCAAACTTCGACTACCTGGAGACCATATGTTCAAGCACACAAACCTGTGGGGGACACTCCCTATTTAGACCATCACAGGACTCTGGACTATTTCACCCTCATACTGTTTGGAACCACAAGACAAATTCCAACAGGTTCCAGGATGAATGGGCACTAAGACGCTATACACAGAATTGATGACTATGGGAAAGAGATGATGCGACCCTACCAGGCAGACTCACAGCCAGAAGATGGATAAAGCCACATGCTTTCTCTCAAGCCAAACTTTCTGCGTAAGCTT